GAGAATTTCTCTCTTGGCCAGCAGGAATTTGTCTCTTGGAAAGGAGGAATTTCTCTCGTTCCAGGAGAATTTCTCTCCTTCCACGAGAATTTCTTTCTTCGCGAGCTGGAACTTGGAGAATTTCAACGATAATTCCTTCTTTCGATAGGTGGAATGTCTCGTCTGTCACAGGAGTTTCTCTGTAGGGACTTTTTCGGTGTAAAAGGGTATTTCAGGTTTTATTTCTTGAAGCAAAAATTTGCGACATGCATTTGAAGAAAGTATAATTCAGAATAACAGATGAGTATCGTAAGGTGTTAAAGAAAAGTGTATTATTGTTTGAAAAAGATTGTTCTTAGCTTGAAGGGAATAGAGCATGAAAAGGAGAATGAAGACTGTCTTTCTACACACTGCTAAAGTAATGAGTAATGCCCAAAGAATAAAATAATATGAAGTTGGAACGTGAGAAATTGAGTTTAGTTATTAGTCTATGGGAAAATCTATCTAAAAATACGACCTACAAGTGGTGTCCCGCATNAGGTTACCAAGGTAGGAACAAAAAAAATATTTTTGAACGCTCATGAGTGAGTTGAAACCGTCAGACTATGGTCCATCGATCTACGCTAACTCTTCATTTCCAAGTGGGGAAACTCAAAAATAAATGAAAGCATAGCTTATCGATTTTGCTGAATCATGGGGCAATGTTTGCTTTTCGAAAACACTGCAGAAGCGCAGTGAAAATCCATATTAGTTGAAATATCCCATTTCTGCCAATTTTTGAGTAAAATTAGAAAACTCGTAACACAGTCAAAACGGAAGCAAACTGCGTCAGGATATCAAGATGTACTGCATTTTAACACCACTATATCATGGACTTCGGCAGAGCTTCCAAAAGCCAACAGATAATACTTTGGTTTTTGACAAGGGTTTCTAGAGACCATCAGAGGAAAGGGAAGATTTTTCACTAATCTTCAGCACACAATCAGATTGAGCAGATAAAATATAGTATAGCTTCATATCCTGACGCAGTTTGCTTCGGTTCTGACTGTGTTACGAGTTTTCTAATCTTACTCAAAAATTGGCAAAAATGGGATATTTCAACTAATATGGATTTTCACTGCGTTTCTGCAGTGTTTTCGAAAAGCAAACATTGCCGCATGATTCAGCATAATCGATAAGCTATGCTTTCATTTATTTTTGAGTTTTCCCCACTTGGAAATGAAGAGTTAGCTAGGTCCCAGCAGCCCCATAGACTTACGTCCTCCTAATGTGTCTACTTTCAGAAACTGAAAACCACAAATTTTTAGGTCTTTTTCTTCAATAATTATTCGAAAAACAGTGGCGGATACTATAATTTTAAATGGACAGTAATGCGAGGTAACTGCTTATGAGAAACGGACGTTCGTAAGTGACTAAACTACGATACGAAGAAAATTAACGGGTTAATAGGTCAGTTGACGTTGTTGTTATGGTATTAAATGCTATTAATGCTAATCGCTTGTAACGTATGGGTGACTAATATTGGTTTGTGCTTATGAATTTAATAACTGTACACATGTTTGTCCGTTCATCTAAAAACAGCTAAATAGTAGACTCAGAATTGAAATTTTAAAAGCATTATCATACCATTTTATATCCTGTTTCATTTGTTTTTATTTCCAAATATTCACAATTCTTAAGATGAAAAATTAACAGTAGATACATAGAACACTTTTTGTGTCCCATTGATGACATTATGGTGGCGTATGATTTAAGCCAACTGAAACATTGTTCTGCACTCTGTGTATTAACACCGTCTAATGCTGCATTTTTGTCCGGATTCATGTTTGCTCGACACCAAGTATCAACATGATTTTGATAGTGAAGACGATCGAGAGAAAATGTACAATTATCAAATAAATAACCATGATAATATCATGGTTATTTATTTCAGTTATTTTATATGATAGCTACAAATGTTCTTTAAATGGAGGTTTAGTTTTTATAGTTGTTTTCGAATGTCTTCTAGTAATGTATTGAATTTAACACTGTCTTTATCCAGCATATCTAGAAGACGTTTGCGTGCCTTTTGTACCACTCCATACCACATTGACGATAAGGAAGCAAAACGGGTCTCTAGAACAATGACGATAATGGCTGAAATAAGCACTTCAGTATTTGTTAATTGTTGAAATTCCAATAATGACTTTCCAATCAATTTTTCTATGAACTTCTCATCGACCTTCCAGAGACCATCAAAATCTTGTTGAGCGATTATATCACGTACAATATCTAGGTCACCTTGATTATCTTTACGAGTGATTTCTCGTGACTTTTTGGAAGATTGTTTCTTCTCATGTTCTTCGCGTAGCAGTTCTTCGGCATAACGCATTTCAGCCGAAGACACTCGCTCACTATGGCGCAATTCAACAGCACTTCTCTTTGCTTGCTTCACTTCGCTCTGTATATGATCACAAGCTTCTTCCAGATGCCTTACGATACGCTCGTTCTTGTTGCCACACTGCTCTAAAGATTCACGGGCCTGTTGGAAACGTTTCTCGGTGGAATTCAACGCCTTCATGCAGCTTTGCGAAAGTCGCTGACTATTATCGTCAGAAGTTGTTATAGGAGATTCTTTCTGGATTTGGTAGCTTTTGTCAATGGAATCAATCACGTTATCATACTGTGCTTGAGCCCTATCATAATTCACCAGGATTTGATCAAAGTTTTCTTGAACACGCTCACAATATTCGCGAATGGAATCAAAATTTTGCCAAGCACTATTAGAATACGTGTTATAGTGAGCAAAATGGTGTCGATGATCATTGTAATCTCTAATAACACGACCGAAACGATGTTCAAGTTCAGAATAATTCATTCGAACGGAATCTAAATGTTGCCGTGCTCCATTGTACTCCATACGAGTTTGATCTAGCTGCTTTCGTGCTTTATCATAATCGTTACGAATACAGTCGAGACGCTTTTGGGCTTCATTCTCATCCATGCATGTCAGATTACAATCTTGTCGAGCTTCTTCATAATTTTTGACAGTAACGGCTAGTTTCGCTCGAGCTTTATGATAATTGGTACAAATATGATCGAAATGCTGTCGAGCAGATCCACTACTGGCAGTCCAACGTCTAATGTATGAAGCTGCACCGTACATTTGATCAATATCATATCTGTCATACAAAGATGCGTCACGCATTCGAGATTGCATTTCTTGTTCATGAAGCATTTTGGATTGCTTATGACGCATTTGAGAGATAGTTGTCGTCAAGTATTCCAAATATTGATTGTCAGCTGATATGTCTATTGGTACTTCACGTAAGACTAAGTTCGCATTACTTGCATTGACGCGTTTTTCAACACCGACAAAGGCCGTGTACGGACTCAAAATGTTGTGTTTGAGTGAAATTTCGATGATCTTTTCTTTAATTTGTTCTTTTGTCATTTTAATTTCTTCATTCGATGCCTCCGTTTGTTGGGCTTCTGTTAACTCATTCTTGTTAGATGAAGATAGTTTCGAATGTTGCAGTTCCAAAATGAGAGCTTTGGCAGCTAATCGAGCAATCATTCCGTCGCTGCTGACATTTGGAATTCGATTCACTTTAGCTTCACATAAACGATGCTGCTCGCTGTAGAGCTCAAAGTTTACCTCATGATCGAATGACGTCATCTTGTTATTGTTAAGTATGCCATAGACAATGAGACGATCATTGATAAAGACAGGTGGTGAACTTGTCGGAACAACATTGATAAGTGTTGAATCAAGATTTAACTTTATTCGAACATTGGTAATGCATGGTTGCAATGCTTTTTGTAATTGTTCGCCGACGTATACGTCCACACATGTACCTGGTGGAATGAACACGAAACGACCATTGGTTGCACGAGCAAGACCTTTGATAAGTGAACGACTAGGTGCATGTCCCAAGCCGAATAAAAAAATTCTAGTCGACGTAGCCATTGAACGACATAAATCGAGAACTTCATCGACATTTGAAATTTCACCATCCGATAAGAGAAAGACTTGACGAGAATAATTTGAACCGGAGGGTGTTCTTTCAACCACTTGAGAGGCAGCAACTAGCAAAAAAATTCATAAAAAGTTCATCAATATTTGTGCACCGTTCGATAAAGTTAAGAACCTTACTAGTTCGGTGCCACCTAAATCTGCTCTCATAGTATTAATGAGTTGTTCAGCTTGGCGTGCATTCTCATTGGTGTAGATAGCCGTTATATCACTGAACAAACTTTTATAGGCATTACCAAATCGAATAATATTGAAGTGACAATCGACAGGAAGACTCTTGAGAAAGAGTAACATGGCTTGACGAGCTAGACCGATCTTATTCTCATTGTCCATAGATCCACTACAGTCAACAATAAAGATAAATTCATTAGTAATGTTACCATCATTAATAATACGTCGACAATCTTGTTCGGCAGGTGTGAACGATACCATAAGAGCACCGGACTCGACGGCAATAATTGTATTCGATCGATTTTCGGTTAATTCAAAATCTATGATAATGTCTCGATCTAAATGAGTATTGTCTTGAGCAAACTCAATCATATAGATATCTTCGCGACTGACATCAACCTGAATCGGATGGGATATGGAACTGACACGTGATATGCCAAATTTTTCCACACAGCAATGGAAATCAATCGTATATGGAGCTGATTGAACATATTCTGTTTTGGTGCCTGCCGGTGAACCAATACCACCTACGTTTGGATTGTAACGCGGTGCGATTGTTGTCGGAACCACAAATCGAATTTTCGTTCCATTTTGAACAAGATCTAGTTCACTGACGTACGACATCGTTATATGACATTCTTGATTCGGCAGTAGAGCTCCCACATTAATAATAAAATTATCTTGAGACTCTTCATCTTGCTCGAGTAAGTAAGCACCATGATGTTCTCGAAGAGCATTGTTGTACTCTCGCTGTGCTTGTTTCTTCTCTTTTAATTCAGCGACAATCTCGCGATCCCCAATACGAGCTACAAATGCGTACACAGCTGCTTGTTCTTCAATAGGAAAACAGTACACGGCTTCGATTGGTACAGCTTCATGGTTTTGAAAAACTTGTGTAATCGTCACATTAGCGGCAAACGATCGAATTGTCGCATCAGCACTCACCCGTTTGAGAGGGACGTACAATGGTAGCGATTCATGGATCGACGAATCCCAATCTCGTTTTCTTTGCATCATCTTCACAGTATGTACCTGATTCTTTTCAATGATTCTACCTGTGCGATCAACAGACAACAATAAATCGAATCAATCTGGGTAGAAATGATTCAGTTACACGTAGACCTACTGGAGACACTGGTTAATAGTGGCGACCGTGTCGAGTAAATGGAAGCAGACAACAGAACGCGATAGCATATATATACGATCACCATAGTGTGAAATTACATGCAATTGCGCAAGACGCAAGGAGGGAAAAAAAATTCCGCTGCGTGAAATTACCCTGGGAAAAATTGGTCATATTGGTTTATCAAATAAATTCCTTATACCAATCAGTTGAGAGAGCGAGATTGTGCAACTTGTGTTATTCATCGAGAATTTTGACAGTTATTTCGCCAAAATATGGTAGTATCAGACGAATTTCGACAAAAATTTTGGTTAGGCCGTTAATGACCTATGGTGTTTCGTGTATATAATGTTGTCGAAGGATGTAGTGAAATTTCGACAAAATTCTCTACCTGATGGAAAAAAAGACTATTTATCGGCGTTAAAAGAAAAATATAGAATAAATAGCAAAAGAATAAGGTTGAGAAGAAGATAGTAACAGAACTAAAATAAAACGATGATATGATTGATACAGGGGAGTGAATACCGAAAATGAATGATAAAGGAAAAAAATAGAAGTTAAATACATGAAGACGATAACAGGGGAGTCAATGAGCGAAAGCCAACGATAAAGAAAAAGGTACAGAACAAGTACAGTATGGAAAGGAAAGGAAAAACATACACATACACTTTTCAACCATATCATTGGATAGCTCCTTCAATTCTTCATAAAATGAGATGCTGGCCAAGTTTCTACGATCGTGGTGAAGTTTCTACGTCTCAAAAGGTGGCATAGAAAATACGATACCGATCGAA